TGACTAGGGTGGGGTGGACATCATGGCGTGGGCCATGATATTTCCTCAGATTTCATTGCGCCTCTTCTTGTTTCGTTACGTTCCCGGCCACCCCCATGGGCCGCGCACATGCCGCCGGCCATGATTTGCACTCCCCCCTTCTTGGACGCCCCCCTCTTGGCCGCCCCCGAGAAGCCTTCGATGGAGCCCCCAGATGGGGCCACGATGCGTGTAAGGGGTGTGCCGAATCGGATGCGGGTACGCCATGCGGACGCTTCCGCTGGGGCCTTCGGTGAAGCTCCCGATGGGACCACGAAGCGCGGGAGGGGCGTGCCAGATCGGATGCGGGTACGCCATGCAGGCCGTGCCGCTGGGGCCTTCGGTGGGGCTCCCTATTTGGGCTACGAAACGTGTGAAAGGTGTGCCGAATCGGGCGCGGGTGCGCCATGCTGACCTTGCCGCTGGGGCCTTCGGTGGAGCTCCCATCGGGGCCACGAAACGTGTGAGGCGTGAGCCGGATCGGGCGCGGGGACGCCATGCGGACGCTGTCGATGGGGTGTTCGGTAGAGCTCCTTACAGGGCCACTAAACGTGTGAGAAGTTGTGCTGAATCGGGAGCGGGTACGCCATGCAGACCGTGCCGTTGGGGTCTTCGGTGGAGCCCCAATATTGGGCCACGAAGCGTGAGAGGGGTGTGCCGAATCGCGTGCGGGTACGCCATGCGGACCCTGCCGCTGGGGCCTTCGGTGGAGCCCCCATCGGGGCCACGAAACTTGTGATGCGTCTGCCGAAGCGGCTGCAGGCACGCTATGCGGACCCTGTCGACGGGGCCTTCGGTGGAGCTCCCATCGGGGCCACGAAACGTGTGAGGCGTGAGCCGAAGCGGATGTGGGTACGCCATGCGGACCCTGCCGATGGGGTCTTTCTGGTGGAGCTCCCATCGAGGCCACGAAGCGTGTGAGAGGTGTGTTGAACAGGACGCGGGCACGCCATGCGGACCTTGCCGTTGGAGTCTTCGGTGGAGCTCCCTATGCAGACACGAAGCGTGTGAGCTATGTGTGTGTGCGGGGGTTGTGCTGATGATGACGACAACGACGATGGTGATGATGATACTGTTGCTGCTGCTGCTGGTGATGATGATGATGTGGATGCTGATGCTGATGATCATGATGGTGATGGTGATTATGTTAATGATTATGATGATGACGATGACGATGATGACGACGATGACGACGACGATGACGATGACGATGTTGATGACAACGATGATGATGACGATGATGATGATGATGATGCTGATGCTTATATGGTGGTGATGATGATGATGGTCGTGGTGATGATGATGGTGGTGGTCATGCTGCTGATGATGATGGTGTTGGTGATGACAATGATGATGGTGGTGGCGACGATGATGATGTTGGTGATGATGATGGTGGTGATGATTATGAGGATGATCATGATCATGATGCTTTTGATAATGCCGTGGTGATGATGATGATGTTGATGATGGTGATGGTGATGCTGATGATGACGATGATGACGATGATGATGATGATGATGGTGGTGGTGACGACGACAACGATGATGATGATGGAGGTGATGCTGATGAGGATGCTAATGATAACGGTGGTGGTGATGATGCTGATGATGATGCTGATGATGATGATGCTGGTTATGACGCTGATTACGATGTTGGCGGTGATGATGATGATGATGATGATGCTGATGCTGATGCTGATGCTGATGATGATGATGATGATGATGATGATGATGATGATGATGATGATGGCGATGGCGATGGCGATGGCGATGGCGATGGCGATGGCGATGGCGATGGTGACGAGGAGGGCAGAGGCAAGGAGGGGGAGGAGGGTTGATGGGGAGCAGGGAGGAGAGCGAGGAGGAGGAGGAGGTGGAGGAGCAGGAGACGCGGGGATTGTTTTCCTCAAAGCGAGGACCTATCACCGCAGGATGGCTGGGAAAAAACAACAAGTGACTCAAGTGGCTTACGCGTTTCCGCCGAATCCCAAGATTGAGCGAGTGCTTGCTGCGACTATATTGGAAGTTACTGGGTCAGGAGCTCTCCTGCCGAAGAACCCAACCATATGCAGTTGTGGGTACAGTTGTTGTGGGTATCGCCTTCGGTGGATCTCCTTGTGGGCCACGAGGCGTGTGAAGGGCGTGCCGAATTGGGCGGCGCCGCCATGCGGGCGCTGCCACTAGGGCCTGCGCCTGAGGTACCTATCGGGCCATGAAACGTGTGAGGGGTGTGCTGGGTCGGGCGCGGGTACGCCCTGCGGGCTGTGCCACTGGGGCCTTCGGCGGAGGCTCCTTTCGGGGCCACGAAACGTGTGAAGGGTGTGCCGAATCGGGCGCGGGCACGGCCTGCGGATTGTGCCATTGGAGCCTTCGGCGGAGCCTCCTTTCGGGGCCGCGAAGCGTGTGAAAGGTGTGCCGAGTTGGGCGCGGGTGCGCCGTGCGGGCTGCGCCCGACAGCAGCCAACAACTACAGTGATGGTGATCGCGGTGATGGCGATGAGAGTGACGGTGGCAACGAAGACGCTGGCGAAGATGACTCAGGAGGGAAAAAACACACAGACACAATTAATCGTCGGTTTCCCATGAAAATATGAGAAATTATGGGAAGTGGGGGGAAGACGAAAACCCAGAAAATATTGGAAAATATTGGGAATCCTTTTATTTGTGTGTATTTATTTGTGTGTCACAGGGCCCCTTCAGATGATAGTGACGGTGGCATCGAAGACGCTGGAGAAGATGATTACGTTTCGAATGATTTTATTACATACGTGTGGAACTGCTCATAAAAGCAGTGGTCCCGGCAGGATTTCGAGATGCGCGCGCGGAGACGCGCGCATGTCTTCGTGCCTTCTGATGCAGGTTTGATGCCCGGGGCGTACGAGCAGCTTTTAAACATATCCAGGGGATCTTGGTTTGCAGAATGCGAAAATCGAAGAAAAAACAAATACTGAAGAAGAGGAATAACAAAAACTGCATACACACAATGTTTGGCGCTCCGCGCGGATTTATTGGATCTGCGCTGGGGCCCCCCTGGCAGCGCCTCCAGCGCCGCCCCTTGCGCGCTCCGCGCGCCAGGGAGGGGGGTCTGGCTCAGATCCAAGAAATCCGCGCGGAGCGCCAAAAAGTTTGATGTTATTGGAAATTGTTGTTCTTCTTCTTCTTCTTCTTCTAGGAAAAGGTCCTTGTACGCATTCCGTGCATCACCTGTCCATGCCATGCTGGATCTCCCAAAGTGAAACAGTTGCCGTGCCGTGCCGAAGTGGCCGCGCAGTGCCGCGCCTGCCATGTGTTCAGGATGCGAAAAGATGCTGTCCCATGCCTGATTTTCGGAATGCGAAAAGGTTGCCGTGCCGTGTTCTGTTTAGTTTTCAGAATGCGGAAGAGTTATTGTGGCATCCCGTGCCAGGCTTCAGTTTGCGAAATAGCTACCGTGCCGTGCGCGGCTTCCAGAATGCGACAAAATTGTCGTGCGGGGCCGCGTTTGGTTTTCAGAATGCGGAATAGTTGTTGCGCCGCGCATGGCTTCCAGATTGATGAAGGAAACAGAGCCGTGACTTGTGGTCATATTGCGGGAAAGTCGCCGTGCTTTGCCGTGGCTGAGTCTTGGAGTGCGCAATTGGTGCCGTGTTCTGCCGTGCCTGGGAGTCCGAATGCGGAGAAGTTGCTGTGCCGATGCAGGTGTTCGGGATGTGAAAAAAAGTTGTTGCGCCGTGTTGTGCAGCGCCTGGTTTTCTAAATGCGAAACATGTGCCGTACCATGCCGTGCCGTGTGTGAATCTCGGCCTTCAGAAGTTGCCGCGCCGTGCCGTACCGACCGTGTGCTTCTCACGTAGTGTCGGTACGTAGGGTCGCGATGCCAGTGCAGTTCTTTTTTCAAATAATACAACCTAATGCAAGTTGTGGGGTGCCAGTTATGTGATGCAAGCTATGCGGCACAAGCTGCGTCGTACAGCTTGTGTGCTGCAACGTATGTGGTGCAAGCCATGTGGTGCAAGTTATGCGGTGCAAGGTATGCTGTGCAATCTATGCGATGCAACTGACGTGGTGCAAGGTGTGATGCAAGATCATGCGGTGCAAGCTGTGCGCACGATGCGAGCACGAGTCGCCCACGGGCCTGCACTCGCAGAAACCTCAGAAAGCCCAGCCAGCGCCCGGGGCGTCCGCAAGGCGACCGCGACCAGTCACCAGCCGAAAATCCATAAATGCTGCCGCTGTCTTAGGGGAACGATTGAGGGCCTTTGGGTGAGTGCAAGCGCTGCTCGTTGAAAAGCACACGACCATGGCCCTCGCCCCAATCCTTACGCGGTGCTTTGTCGATTCGGGCCAGATCGATGTGCGAGCGCGTGGGGTGGCGTGCGGATGCCAGGGCCTCCTGCTGCCACTCGCCCCAAGATTTGTTCGAGACGTGAGCGCCCGAATTTCTCGACCCCATTCTGGGGGGTGCCATTTCATCCTGGATCGGTGGTTGGTGGTACAAGGGCCGAAACAAGGCCCACGGAATCGGAAAAATATGTCACATCCTCCCGCATTTTTTGCCGCAGCAGAAACTGCCGGCATGAAGGACAGGGGTCCAGATGGAAACAAGTCCTGGACCCCAGAGGCTTTCTCACGACCAAGTCTTCATGCCAAGTCGTTTCTCGACGGTCTCGAGGCTCGTGGAGGAGGGCCCCAGGGTCCCCAAAGCAGCGAAGCCTGTCAGGACCCCTTTTGTACGGCAGCAGCTTCCCTCATGCTAAACCATTACCCCCCCTACAGTCGGGGCCCTGAAGAAGGAACCCTTTTCGTCGGGGAGGGGCTCCGTGTTCCTTAATTGTTTCGCAGCTTGCTTTAGGTTTTCCTTAGGTTTTCGATGTGGAATCGAAGTTTAACTTATGGAAAATAGGGGCCTCGTTCCTTATTTAGGGTTCCTTAGGTCAAGCCCCCGACTGTACGTCGATTGCTAGCGCCGCCGCGCGGCGGCATCTCCGGTGCCCCCGCTGCAAGGGACGCGGTGTCGGTGTCCAAGGCGAGAATGTCCTGCAGAGGGAGCCGCGCTTGGGGCCCAGACCTCTTCGCGGCGTGGAAAATTAAAAAGTCACGGCCTGACAATTCCCCGTTTTCTGGAAACCTTACTTGTTCCCAGGACAGTCAAGGGCCTATTCAGCCAGCCCCGGTGAAGGGGTGGAGACCCCCAGGGGTCCATGCCATGAGCAAGAACGCAACGTAGGAGGTCTGGGGGGGAGGGGCCGAGGATCGAGGGGCATCGAGGAGGGTCGAGGAGGGAGGCGTTTGTCGTTTTCGCTTCTTGTCTTCTGTTTCTTGAGAGGCTTCCAAGATCCCTGGAGGCTTCTGGGGAAGCGGGGGCTCCTGGGAAACCTCCTGGCGACTCGAACAGAGCACGACGGCCCGCCCGGGAAAGACGCCCTCCTAATGGCGCCAGGTATGACGCGCAGGCAGGGAAGGGCGACAGGAGGTGGGCCAACGATTGCGGTTGTGGGCGAACTCTGCATATCCGAAGAAGAAACAAACACGCCATAAACATGAACTGTTGGTGCTCCGCGCGGATTTCTTGGATCCGCGCCGGGCCCCCCTCGCGGCGCCGCCGGCGCCGCCCCCAGCGCGCTCCGCGCGCCAGGGAGGGGGGCCCAGCGCAGATCCAAAACATTTGCGCGGAGCGCCAAGAGTTTATGGTTCCGGCGCTTTGTTCTTCTAAACTTCTTTGGATCACACGCATGGTGGTGCACGTCGAACATCTGTCCTGTCTCGTAAAGCACAAGCAACAGCCAACTGACGAGTGTGCCGTATTCGGGTTCTGGCTCAAGCTCTGATCCCCGATGCCCATCTTGGGGGGGAGGGGGCGAAGGTGATCCTCGAGGGGGCGGGCAACTCCTTCTCTACCGCCACCTCGGACGCCCTCCTTTCCTGGGCCAGCAGAGAGCCATGCCCTGACTGCCGACCGGTGGTCAACTGCGACTGCCCCACTTGCCCGTCGGTGAGCTGCGGGGACGCGATCTAGCAGAAGCGGGGCGGCGCTACGCTCGTCCCCGTGGTGTGGTGGATCCTCCTCCTGGCTGGCGGGTTCGTGCGTTTTCCCCTTGCCGGAGCCCGCGGGGACCCGCGCGAGCTGGTCACTCGGCCGGCGGTGGAGGTGGAGGCGATCGATTTGGAACCGATCGCGGAGCAGGCCCGGTAGCAGCTCGCGGCGCTCGCCCTGAAGCGGCGGAACGCTGGGCTTACTCGACATTCACCCCGGATGACGACGACTACGAAAAGGACACCGCGGTCGCTGCCGACATCGCCGAGGCCGTGAGGTTGCCCAACGGCATGCAGGGCGGCCTGCCTCCCTCTGTCAGCGCGGCGGCGGCGCCGGCACCCGTGCACCGCTTCCGCGCGCTGCCCTTGCCGGCTCGGCTTGTTGGCGCCTGCGCGGCAGGTGCCACCCGCCAGTCCGGCGCCGTGTCCGCCAGGCCGCTGAACACCGCGGGCAGGCCGGTGGCGGCCGGCGAGGGGCTACCCGTTTCACCTGGTGGGCTCGACGAGGGGGATGTCTTCGTTGTCGGTTACAACGTGCCCGGCCCGGCGTTGTGGTACGAGAAGGTGGTGGTCTTAAGCCAGGGCCCCCGCCTGCAGCCCCCGCGGCGCCAGGCGGCGGGTTCGCCGCCCTTGCCGCCGCCTTCGGCGGGCCGGGAGCCACGGAGGTCGCGTCTTACGAATTGCTCGAACGGTCCCTTGAGGTACAGGAGGAACGCTACATGGATCGCATCGCGGGGGCCGAGGATAAGGTTGACTCCCACTTGCTTCTCAGATCTGACCTCGACAGAGGCACTGTGTGCGTGACCCCCGAGCTTCAGGATTTGATCGCTAAAAAGTTGGCAACGGAGGCTTCGATCATGACGGAGCGTCGGGAAGCTCGGGAGGAGAGGTCAGCCAATCGCATTCAGAACCGCAACGGCAAGAATAAGTATGGCAAGGATAGCAATGATGAGCAGGGGCGATGAAGAACCCCAGCGCTGGTACAAGGGCCCTGGCGGCCTTCCCGATCGCTGCGCCATGTTCAGGTACGTCAGCTGATGGTGCTGCCTCTGACCGTGCCAGAGGTATCTTTCCCCTTCCCTCCCTTCCCTCTCGCGCCACGCCTGTAGGTGATGCCGCGCTCGTGAGTAGGATTGTGGAGGACGATCAATGGAGAGGAGGCATGATGCCAAATAATTCCCAGATGTCTGGAACATGTGTTCAAACTGTGCTACACATGTAAAATTATTGTTTGAAGCAAGTCCAGGGCATGTTTCTACATGTTGAACACAGTCTTAATTCGATGATAGGACTGTGGGTGTCCATGATGGTGGCATCCACAAGAGTAGGAGCGCATTCAGACGCCGTTGCAGAGCTAAGCTTTCCATTGATTGGGCCAGCGATGCCATCTCCCCCCTCAACAGTGCTTATGGTTTCGGGCCTGCCGGCCGCGCTGCGAACCCCAACTTGCGTCAAAGGTCCGTACTCGAGCACGTTATCGAACAATTTCGCGCGGCAGGCCCCCAGCCCTCCGACCTTTCTAGCGTGGGAGCCATCGGCGAATTCTGCGCCTCTAATTCGTGGTATGCGCGACTCTGCTGGGACAACTAGGCGGCCCGTTTCTTGGGATCTCGATTCCTGGCCAGGCGAGGGGGCCCGTCTGGCCCCGCTGGATAGCCTCCTCAGCCCCGGCGACCGCAAGTGAACCGGCCGCGCCCACGAGGACACGCGGCAGGCCGACGGTCGAGGCCCGGAGCTTAATTCGGGAACAATTATTGTTCTTTGAGGCCTTATGTGGATCCGTTTCTACGCTCGTCTCGCGCCCGTTGCGCTGCCTTCGTTCGGAGGCTGGTCGGCCAGGGAGCGGCTGCCTGGGAGCTCGCCATGGGGCGCCCTAGTAAGGCTGGCATATTCTTCGCTGCTCAGATATCTGGCAAGCTCAGGCTTATCTTTGACACCCGCGTCGCCAATTTTCTGCTTGACATCCCCTGCCACCCGCCCCCCCACCGCCTCTGCCCTCGCGTCCGTTGAGTCTCCTGGGGCCGGCATTTTTGCGGGGCTGGGCGACGTCGACATATGCTTTTGTCGCATGGTCCTGCCGGCAGGGCATCGAGACTTTTTAGCCCCTCCCCCCGTCGATGCTGGGACTGCCGGGCTTGCAGAGGTCATGGCCACGACGTGATCCTGGCGCCGCGCTCGACCCTGTCTTCACGACCAAACCCGCGGGATGGAACTGGGCCGCGCACATCGCCCAGCCGGTGCCGCTGAACGCCCTGGAGGACGCCGACGTCGACGGGTCGCACATCGTCGTGGATGGCGGCCCCGCCCCCCCACTCGGCGACGCCTCTGAGGCGCCGCCGCTGGGCGCGTCGACGACTTCGTCGCGATCGGCCAGGGCCCCGAGGTCACGGACTCCACAGCGTTCCAATTTCGCTCACCCCTCGAGCGCAAGGGCCTCATCATCCACGAGCTGAATGGAGTCCGCCGCGAAAGACGCGCCCTTCCTTGGGTTGGGGCTGAGTTCGGGACAGAGGCTTTCCATTCGACGCCGCGGCCTCTGGAGGTCGCGCCTCGCCCTCGAGGAGATCCTCCGGCGCGGTCGCGCCGGCGGATTCCTTCGGGCGGCGGGGCGCGCTATCTGAGCGGCCGTCCTGCGTCGGGAAGCCCCCCGCCCCCCGCGCGGCGCGCGTGCGTTTATCGAGCGAGCTATGTAGGGTGTTGCCGGCGTTCGCAGGGAGCTGCGGACGCCCCGCTTCGTTTTTTACATTGAAAAAGAAGAGAAAATGCGCTGCGCAGTGAGGCGCCGAGCGGCGCGGCCAGGCGCGCGCCTCGGACGCCCCCCCCTGCGGTCTTGGAGTTTTTATCCGACAGACTTCACCGCGGGCCGCGGGCGCGGTTGGGAGATCGAGCGAGCGTTGGCGACGCAGAGCGAAAGATCGCCGCAGACCCCGCGACGCCGCCCTGCCCCTCTCATCTGCACGCCCAGTTCTGAGTGCAGGTCTCGACGCGCCTGCCCCCGCGCGCCCCGAACAGGCCGCCAGGAATTTCGACGAGGTACCCAGCCTCATGGACCCCGACAGCTGGGCCCGCGCCGCGGCCTCCGAGGTCGCGCCCAGCACCGACATCTTGGCCCTGGAGGGCGAGGCCCTGGTTCTGGCCATCATGGACCAGGGTCGGCCCAGGGGTCGGCGTCTGCTCCTCATCGTGGACCATTCCTTTTGGCGTCGGGGGCCACTATGGCCGGGCTAGCTGAAAGTTCCCCAGCCCCCCCCTCGCCAAGATCGCCCGCCTCGCGTCTCTGGCTGCGGTTTCATTGTACGTTGGGCACCTACCGAGAGGGATGTCCGCGACAGCCCGTCTCGGGGCCGACGCGGCTGGCCCGCCGGCCCCCGGCGCGTCAGACTTTGCCCCGCGTCGCGCATGGCGGCTGCAGCGGCGCCCCCCTCTGGCCCCCCTGCAGGGCTCTCGGGGCCTCCGGCGCTCGCCGGCGCGGGCGCCGCAAGCCCGCCCGAACCAGGGGCGATTGCAGGCGGCGAGCCGCGCGGGCAGCAGGCCGATCTCCCCGATGGCGTCGAGGGCCTCAGCGGCCGCCGCCGCAGTCCGCGACCGGCCCCCGCCGGGGGCGGCTCGCGCCTCGAGCTGGAGCGGCTGCGTGGCGACCTGGCCATCCACCGAGAACCTCTACAGGGCGCTGCTCAAGCATTCCCAAGAGTACTGCCTGGCACGACTGGCCCACCCTCGACGCCCTCTCCTGGTCGATTCCCCCCACGGCCTGCATGCCCGGGGGGCCTCGGGCCAGACGTCGGGGGCGGGGCGCTGCGTGGCTGCCCCGGCGCGCTGCCTGCCTGGCCTGGGGCGCGCGCGGGCCGCGCGGTTGCCGCGGGCCGCCCGGGCAGCGCCGGGCTGGAGGCGGCGCGCGCCGCCCTTCGCCGGGCTGCCCCTGCCGCGGGCGGCCATTGTCGCGATCGCGGGCTGCTCGCGTACAAGCGCCCGCTCCGCGCCGCCCCGCTGGCCACGGCGGCGCGCGCGCTACT